ATTGATTTCTGCTCTTGTTTTATTACTTCTTTCTGCTTGCTCTGGCTTTATTTGATATTCTTCTGGTTTCTTCAAGTGGAATATTAGATTATTAATTTAAGATTTCCTCTTTTCTCATGTAAAAATGGCATTCAGTGCTATAAATTGCCCTCTCAGCACTGCGTTAGCTGTGTCTCACTTTGTCGGACCTTCAGAGAGGGCGCCCGAGGGGACCTGAGGCCACAGAGAGCAGAGACCTCCTAGGCTCCACCTGAGCCACAGGACATAGTGTGACCTGCAGGCAGCCTGGATCACTGTGCCCCGTTCTCCCACCGCCCCCACCCCCACCCCAGTGCCCATGTGAGATTCCTGTAGAGACCAGCAGGTGGGGTTCAACCGCCCATTAGGGTGTGGGACCCTGAGAGGGCACAGTATCTGCCGGTGCTTCCACAGAAGTGAGGGTTATGGTCCCCAGGAGGCAGCCCTGCCCTGCCCTGCTTTTCCCTTTCCCTTCCCCTTTCTCTTTCCTCTTTCCTTTCCCCTTCTCCTTCCCCTGTCTCACTCCCCATTTCTCACCTTCTCCCACTCACAGGCCTCAGCCCTCTAGAGGCCTCTGCTGGGCTCTGCACCTTGTCCTGACATCCAGGCCAGGCCCTGGATGGGGGCCTGCCTCCTCTCTGCCCGCCCTCCTCCCCAGAGCTGCCCTCCCTGTGCACTTCTCTCCACATCTCCACGCCTCCAGCGTGTGGAGGACCCCTCTGTCCGTGCCCACTGTCAGGGATCTCACAGCTATTGGGCTGGGCAGGCTCGGTGGCAGCCGGGCGGGGCCTCGAGCTGGGAGTCCTGGGTCTGCTGGATAGTGAGGGACCCGATCAGATGTTCTGGCTCCAGGCACCATCCTCCTCCCACAGAGGGCTCCTGGGGGCGCTTTAGTCCCCGCAGAGAGGGACACAGAGGAGCGAACCCCCGCTAGTGAGTGTAGCTGGTGCTTGTGTCTCAAGCTCCCCTGGTGGCCAGCCCCTCTGGCCCCTCCCATGCTCAGCAGCCCGGACCAGGTGAGGCCTTGAGCTCTGTAGGCGGGACACTTTGCATGTCACGGCCTCCCAGCCAGCACGGCCCTGCAGGGGCGGCTTCCTCGGAGGACCCGGTCTGGGTCTGCCCTCCACAGCCTGGGAAAGGGCCGATCCTTTTGGATCCTGAAGCTGCATACTGAAGCCCAGGTGTGAGTCTTTAAGAATTAATTAGCACAGATTGCTCAGGAAAAATGAAGCCAGCACAGGGTTTGGTACTGATGGTTTTCTGTAATTCTGAAGCTGTTTCTGGCCTGGAGGCTTTTCCTGTGCTTCCTGGCCCCGGGTTGGCCCTCCATCTCCCTGGTGTCCAGTTCCTCCCCGGGCCTGTCCTGGCTGGCAGCACCCCCTTCTCTGAAAAGCCCCAAAAGCCTAATTTTCCCACCTCCCCGCTCCGCTGACCCTGGAACTGCCTCGTTATCCCACTGCCCTGGTGCCCCCAGGCCTCCTGGCCTTGGCTCCTGCCCTCCTCTGCTGGACTCCTTCCCTTCCCTGCCTGTCCCCATCTCCTCCCCCCCCCACCCACACACACACTTCACCAGATCCTACCTGTCCTTTCACTTTTAACCTATGACCTCCGACCCCTCAGGCTGCGTGGCTAATGGCTGTGCATTTGCCAGTGTTAGCAGGTCCATGCGTGGCCTTCCTTACGCACTGCCATCTGCTGGGCACCCCTGCTGCTGGCCAGGAAACTGGAGCTGAGCTGGGGTGGGAGGATGCTCTGGCTGGTCCAGTGTCCTCTTTGCATCCATGGCAACAGGGACGTGTCCCAGGACGCCACAGCCTCCTCAGAGCATCTCTGCTTTGCTATTCTCCTTCCTTTGCTTTCTGACTCGAGACTGCGCAGCTAGGGCAGCTGTGGCTCTCTCCAGGCCTCTGTGCCTTCAGAGGAAGCAAGGTCAGCAGAGCGGATGGGCGACCCGCCCATGTGAGGTTTGGCAGCTGCAGTCTCTGTAACGAGCCGGAAGGGCATCGAGGAAGAGCAACTCCAGGTGGTTCCTGGGCTGTGACAGGGAGTCTGGGGTCTGCAAGGCGAAGCTGGTCCAGAGGAGGCTCTGTGTAACCCAGCAGCCACGGCAGCAGAAGCTGCAGAGCCCAGACCTGCCCCCGGGGCCCAGCATCCTGCTCCGGGCCTCCGGCCCCTCCAGGCCACGGCTGCCTCATTTGGGCTTCGTGTGCCAGAGAGCCCCCGTGGGCACAGGGGGAGGGGGGGGGAGAAGGGACACTGACCTGGCTTTTCTTTTTTTTTTAATTTTTTAAAATATATTTTTATTGATTTTTTACAGAGAGGAAGGGAGAGAGACAGAGAGCTAGAAACGTCAATGAGACAGAAACATCGACCAGCTGCCTCCTGCACACCCCCCACCGGGGATGTGCCCGCAACCAATGTACATGCCTCTGACCGGAATCGAACCTGGGACCCCTCAGTCCGCACTCCAATGCTCTACCACTGAGCCAAACCGGTTTCGGCTGGCCTGGCTTTTCTGAGAAGAGGACTCATCCATGAGCTCTGAGGGAGGGACAGTGGAGTTGGCACCCCGGAGCCCAGACTTGCAATGAGAGAAGCAGGCCTGTGGGCTTCTGGGACCCCCGCGCCAGCTGAGGTCTCAGGGGGGCTCTGCGCAAACGGCAGAGAAAAGGGAACTGCCTTGGGGAGTCCTCTCTAATGGGAGGGGCTTATACCCCATCTTTAGATGAGAAAAGTGAGGCCAGGGTCAAACTGTGTGTGAAGCAGAACTGTGCTGTCCCCTTTCACTGGGCACCCACTTCCGTCTCCCCGCCCTCCAGCGGGGCCCTGGCTTGGGACCTGGACCACGGCTCCGATACAGCCCCCAGAGGCTGCAGGAGTGTCCATCTGCGTCCCACCGGGAGCGTGGGTGTTCCGTCCTCAGACGGGGAGGCCGGGTGATCCGGGACCAGCAGAGACTCGGGCCTTTAGAGGAGAACAAGAGCTCCCCTAGGACAGGAGGCATCGCACAGAAGGGCAGCCGGTGAGGGCGCAGATGGCGGCACACCACTGCCCCACTGCCCCACGGTGCCACTGCCCCACTGCCCCACGGTGCCACGCTGCAGCCACACAGCCGCTTCTGCCCATTGGGGTGCCGCAGAGTGCGCCCCCACTGCGGGCGGGCCCAACAGGGGTGCACAGCATGGGCTCTAGATGTCAGGGCGGCTCTGCGAGGTCAGATTCCAAGTGAGATGGCCAAGGCCTCGCTGCGCCGTCCGCTCTCTCGCTCTCGCTCAGGAGCAGGGAGCAGGCCTGCTGGCCGCCCTTCCCGCGGGGAAGCCGGACACAGGGAGCCACGGGCCCTCCCACACTCCCTCTTGCAGGAGGCTCCTTCCTGTGGGGAAGCACTTGCAGAGAGTGGGCAGTGCTCAGCAGGACTGAGGTGGGAGGGGCTGCAGAGAGGGGGCTGGAAACCAGCTGTTTTTTGGGGGGAGAAGGAGGGGAATTGGTGGTAGAGTATCAGGTTCTCTGACAACAGCATGTCCCAAGGGGCATGAGGAAGAAGCAGAGACCCTAGACTCAGCCACAAGTGCCGCTGTCACCTTAGCAAACGGAGGCAGCCTCTGGCAGGCAGAGCCTCAGGTGTGTGCCCGGCGAGAGCTCCTGAGTCCAGGGCCGACCTGGGCACATGCAGACACTGCGTGGGCGAGGCCACCCTGGAACCTGAGTGCCCCCTGTCCTCCCCCTCCCCCGGGAGAGGCAGCCTCTGGGGCCTGCTCCAGGCAGCAGCAAGGGCAGTGCTCGCCTGGCTCCCCTCTGCTCCTGGCTCAGTGCGGACCGTGCGTGTGTCTGCCGGCCGGCTCGTTCCTCCTGCCCCCGGGGAGACCAGCCCTGGGCCAGCCAGCTCCTGCTCAGCCCTGGGACTCTCCCCTGGCTGGAGAGCCTGTCCTCTGAATGCTGAGCTCCCTCTTCCTGTCTGCAGAGAACCCAGAGACTCCCGAGGGCAGTGGCTCTGGCTTCCTCCCGTGTCTCTCACGGATCTGACCGTGGGAGCCCTGAGAGCCTGGCTGTGCTTGCCGGCCGGCCCCCCAGGGCCCTCCCTCCTCCGTCCGCTTGCAGAGCCTGGGAGATCAGCGCTTGGTCTAAGGCCCAGGAGGCAGGCGTGGGGTCAGCAGGCTAGCGAGCTCAGCATGGACCTCACACAGGGGCTCCCTAGAGCTCAGGGCGGAGACAGAGTGCAGGGAGGGCTGCCTGCAGGGTCTCCTCCTCCAGGAGGGAAGGCTGCCTCCAGCAGCTGGCCGGCAGGGATTCCTGGGGAGGGCCGTGGCCGGCCTGAGTGCCTGCAGCTGTCAGGGCAGTGGCCGGGGAGGGCGCTCACTCAGTCCCTGACCCTGGGCCGGAGGCAGGACAGCCTGGAGAGCCAGTGTGGGCCCAGGCTGTAGAGGCGGCCTCCGGGCTCGGGGTGGAGCATGGGGTTGGGGTGAGGAATAGGGGTTAAACCGAGTCCCAGCCATGGGCTCCCTGCCAGAGAGGGCCAGGAGCTGAGAGTCCAGATCACTGGTGGGCGAGGCTGCGGAAGGGTGCTGGGTGCCAAGCCTTTGGACACTATACATCCTTCCCCCTCTGCCTCCCCGGCTCCGGCCTGCAGGCTGAGCTGGCGCAGCCTCCGCGTGTCCCGTGCGCATGTTTCCTTGTGTCTCTGGGTTCCTAGCTCTCTGCTCTTTTCACCTCACTCACTCTGACCTGTGTCCTGTCTTCTCTCTCTGTCCCAGCTTCAGCCTGGCTGCACTGCATCGCGGAGCCTCTCTCCAGGCTGGGTGTGGAGGGGCTCTGACGTTCCAGCAGGACTCCAAGATGCCAGGAGGGGACCAGGGCCACCTCTGAGCCCCGGAGGAGTGGTCCCTGCAGCAGGCTTTCCCGCCGTGCGGGAGCCGGTGGCTGGGGACAGGCCTGCTCACAGAGCAGTTCTGCTTTAACAGACTCAGGGTTTCCTTTCTTTGCAGATGTTGGAGGAGCTCAGGTGTTGGCAACAGACAAGTCCACTGGGACGGAAATTGGTAGGTGCCCGCCCAGCTGTTCTGCCTGGGAGGTGAGGCGGGTGGGGCTGCGGGCTGGCCTCTTAGCAGCTGTCACACATAGGAGGGCGGCACTCACCTCATCACCAGGCCTGCCGAGTGGCTAGTACAGCTCTCTCCCCGACATTGTCCTGCCCAAGAGCCCGTCCTCAAAGGGAACGTGAGTCCTCGGGCCACCTTTGTCCACACTCTGATGTGCAGCGCCAGCACCCTGCCCACAGCCTGGTTCCCACCGCAGGCTCGGCCCTGCTCTGTGCCCAGGGCACTCTCTCTGTACAATCAGCTCCTCTCCCTCTGAGAGTTCACTGGGCAGGCAGTGACCTGTGGAGAGTGGCCTCCTGTCAGCCCAGCCCTGTCTCCAGCACTAGAGGGAGCCCTGAGCTCCCCAGCGGCCAGCAGGTTCCCGGGCCAAGCCGCATCCCCTTGCCTTCAGAGCTCGCAAAGGGCCTAGTGGACGTGTAAGCCAGGAGGCCTGAGGAGGCCGGGGAAATGAACTGCTGGCCCCCGGAAGAGGCTTCACAGCAGGGGAGCCCCGGGTGGTGTTCTGAGAGGAGGGTCTGGGTCAAGGAGCCGGAGCCTGTGCCCTCCGGAGAGTTTAGGGAGGTTAGGTCGCCTCGGTGGGCCACACGCATGACCTGGGGCTTCGTCCAGAATGTGACGGTCGCCTGGAAGCCCTTTGCAGGAGGTGACCCTTGGAGCCATCGTTCAATGTCTACTCCCTCAGACATCAAGTACGCCCTCATCGGGACGGCGCTGGGCGTGGCCATCTCGGCGGGCTTCCTGGCGCTGAAGGTCTGCATGATCAGGAAGCACTTGTTCGATTACGACTCCTCGGACCTGAAATGCACAGGAGACAACGGTAAGGACATGGCGCTCAGCCCGGCTCCGTCCCCGACAAGGATGGTTCCCGGCAGCCACCCACAGGGCACCAGGGCCACTGCGGAGCGCTTGGTAGAGACAAACTGGAAACCACGGGTGCAGAGAAACACAGTGACCCCATCCCGCCTGTCTGTCTCCGGCTCTTCTCCTTAGTGGCTTCCTGGGTGGGAATGATGAACGTGATCCCGGGGCAGTGAGGCTGGTGGGTGGGAAGGGGACTGTGTGGCCAGTTGCATTTTTTTAGAAACGGGGAGTCCTCGGTCCAGGATCCTTCGGTTCTCAGTGTCCTGCGGGGCACAGCGCACGCAGACACGGAGTTATCAGTTTGTGTGTGGCTATTGAAAATATTTTTTTAGAGGGAGAGGAAGAGAGAGGGAGAGAGAACATTGATTGCCTGCCTCCTGCACTCCGCCTACCAGGGATGGAGCCCGAAACCTGGGCATGTGCCCTGACCGGAATCGACTGGCAAACTTTTGGTGCAAGGAACACAAAAAGCCATACCAGCCGGGGCAGTTTGTGACTTTTGATGGCAGAATGCAGCAGTGATTGACACCCTTCTTCTCGGGGCAGGGCCTGCAAGAGCCACGCCCATGTCAGGGATAATGGCATGACGGTGCGGTTTTCCTTGAGGCTTCCTGAGGGTGAGGAAGAAGATGCCTCAGCATGTCTCCGGAAAACTCGGTGATCTTCTGTGAAGACATGCCGAAGGCGTGGGGCGCAGGTGCCTGGCCAGGAAGAGGGGAGCAGCAGCTCTCAGGATGAGATGCTAGTGTGGCGAATTGCACCAGGGGCTCCATTTGCCATGGGAGTCTGTTTGCCATTGAATTTGTATCCCTGTGAACAAGGAAGGAGGGAGAGCAGCAGCCTCGTCATCACAGAGCAGGTGCCCATCAGACCCTGAGGGCCAAGCTCCAGGGGCCGCAGCTGGAGAAGAGGCCAGGGCAGTGCTTAGGGAAGGCTCTGCCTTACCTGCCTGCTGAGCTCTGAGTTCTCCTGGGCAGGAGCTGGACAGAGGCTCTGGCAGTGCTGGCAGGGAGGAGGGGGCGGGGGGCACACAGAGCCCTCAGCTCAAGACCACTGCCCCAGTGGCCCACCCAGGGAGCCTCTCAGTCCTGCCGAGTCCAGCTGGCTCTGGCTCCTTCCCGGTGCCTGGACTGAGCAAGCTGCCCGGGGACCACAGCGCCTCCTTCCTAACGCCCGCTCTCTCTGTTTAGATACCATCGCGCCAAGGAAGAGAGCCTCAAGGTAAGGTTGCGCTGGAGGACCGCCTCCCTCCTGCTCATCTGTTCTCTGTTCTCGCCCTGCCTGGCAGCCCAGCCCTTTCCGAAATGCTTCCTGGGGACGAAGATGCACCTGTGCCCCCTCCCCCTGCTCCTCTGGTGTGGGCGGGTGTCCTGAGAGGGTGTAGTAGCCAAACAGGCTCACCCGCCCCTGGCACTGGGCACCTGCTGCAGGCCTCGGGCCACTCTCCCCAGGTCCGGACCACAGAGGGAACGCTCAGACGGGAGCCGGGCAGAGTGATCTCGCCTCCCCCGTGGTGAGCCAGCTCCCTGGGACAGCCAGATGCCCCACACCGGCTGGGGCTCTGAGTGAGGGAAACTTAGTTTTGGATACGCCGGGGCACCTGGAAGTCTCCAGAGTTTGTCGCAGACTCTGCTGCAGAGACAGCTTAGAACTGGAATTCACAGGAATGTCAGGTGTCACCATGCCCGCCATTCACCCTGTGGCGTGTCTGCACATGGCCACCAGCAGGTGGGCGCAGAGGCTGTGACCATGTGTGACAAATGACGGACACACATCTGAGTCTGGGGAGACCTGCTGTGGCCGGTGCAGCACAAGCATGTAGCCCTGCTTTCCTGGTTTCTTGTGGCTGTGTGACCTGTCAGAGGGAACGCTCCATCATGCGTGTGTGCGTGTTCTGGATCATTTTGACATGCCAGAGCTGGGAGAGGCGACTTCACGATGCAGGCCAGGTGGCCGATGGTCACTCAGCAGCAACCCCTGTGCCTGCGGGTCAGGGAAAGGGACAGCAGCCGCAGGAGGACACGGTGATGGAGGGAGGAGGGAAGAAGCGAAGGAGGAGAAGTGGGGGGTTGGGCCTCGCTGGGACGGGCCCTCACCGTGCGGGAACTGCTCCTGGCCTGGGTCCTACGGGAGCCCCCACAGCGCAGGGTTTTCGGAGCGAAGGGAGGCACAGCTCAGGGTTCTGAAGTGTCACTAGGCTGAGTGGGGAGAAGTTAGACTAAAGGACAGCAGGTCAGCTCTTACAGCAAAACTGCAGGTGCGCTCTGCCACCAGGACGACGTGCTAAGTCACTTATCAGAACATATCACTAGTAGGGTGAGTGATGTCTACCCTGCTCTTCTGCTTTGCAGCTCAAATCTCAACTTCTCCGAAAGGTGAGTTGGCTGCAGGTCAGCACTGACTGAGGGAGAAGACAGGCCGGCCGTGGTGGCTGTCCTCTCGCCATGAGAGTGCAGCTGCCACCGGCCAATGGCAGGCGTCCTGGGCCAGGGAGGCTGTGAGACCAGGAACCAGCATCTTTTAGGGACATGTGTGGGAAATCCTAGCAAGATGTAAAATGAAGCTGTGGGGCATTTGCCTGCTTAGAGCTGAGAATACTGCATTTTGCAACATAGATCATTTTTAAAAATATATTTTTATTGATTTCAGAGAGGAAGGGAGAGGGAGAGAGAGATAGAAACATCAATGATGAGAGAGAATCATTCATTGGTTGCCTCCTGCACAACCCCCAGTGGGAATTGAGCCCACAACCCGGGCATGTGCCCTGACCAGAAATTGAACCTTGACCTTCTGGTTCATAGGTCAACATTCAACCACTGAGCAATACTGCTCAGGCCATTGATTTTTAAATTTTATTTACCAAGACCTCCTCTTGACAGAGGCCTGTCAAGCAGTTAGCCAATTTACTCCATTCAATGAAAAAAAATTCCAAACTTTTCTCTGTGTCATCAAGCTCTCAGTTTGGTGTTGGATCTTCACTTCTGCTTTGGGATCTCAGTGGGCAAGGCCTGCAGGGGCAAGGGGTCCTGCAGAGGCACCTGCTCCCCAGGAAGGAGGCACCTCCCCCGGGTTTATCCGGATTCTCGGTTCAAGCTCACACTCCCTGGGCCTGCTGGCCAGTCCTCATGCACTGCCCACTGCGCTCACTCTCCTTTGTTGGGAAACATGGTAAACATACCGCAAAGCTGAAAGAACTGAGTAATAAAAACAGACACACACCCTTCATCTAGAGTCACAGGTTAGCATTTGCCGTTTGTCTTCTCTGTATACACCTATTTCTTCTGCTCCACGTAACAACTGGCACAGACACAGGGCATTGCATTCCTACATGCCTTATCATCTACCTCCCACATGATCACCACGTAATGAACGTGCTTAGAAAAATGAGTGGTAATTCAGTATCATCTACTGCGTAGCCCATATGCAAAGTCCTCTGATGGTTTAAAAGCATCTTTTATAGCTCTGTTTTCCTAAGCCAGCGTCATTGCATTTTATTTTGTCTCATTTTATTTTCTCTCGTAATTGGACAACCTTTCCGCTTCCCCCCATGCCAGAAATTTCCAGCCTTTTTCATCTCATGGCACATAAATAATTACTAAAATTCTGCAGCACACCAAAAAAATATATTTTTGCAGATCTGACAAAAAGTAGCTGTCGTTTTAATTCACTCACACCAGACAGCTCTGTGGGGTTGGCTGCTGTCGTTTTTATGGCGGTCCCAGGGAAGAGGGCGGTGCCAGAGTAGATGCCGAGCAGCCAGTGTTTAAACGTTCTGAGGAGCACCTAAGGCGCTGTCATTTGGAAGTACCACGCCTGTCCCATCTGAAGCCCCATTTCTGGTTTGTTAGGTTCTGTCCTCCTGAGTAAATCCAGACTGAGAATTTTGTGGAGACTGCTGCAGAGGGGACATTTGTATCGTCTGTGGTGCCGCCTCAGGGGCACCCAGGCCAGGCCCTTCTGTGGGTGGGGCTGTTTGCTCACTGGTCAGGGAAGCACCTGCTCGACTCCATAGTGCAGAGGGCAGCTTCCCCTGGGAACCAGTCAACGGTCAAAGGTGGTCCTTGGAGTCCTGACTCCCAACAGTTCCTCACCCAGTGATTTAACATCCTCACGATTTACATTTGAATCAATTATTGCATAGGAATTACAAAATTCTGAGTTTCTAATTTTAGCATTCCTTCCACACTTAATAGCTGGCATTCACAAAGGAGGAATTTTTCTCCCCCAACACATTTTCTTTTATCCAGTTGTTGAACATAATTCCTATGAACTTCAATGCATTTTAACTCATTGCCATCATCAATCTTTCTTATGCTCTAATTATCCCAAGTTTATCCAGTAAAGTCACTTCTTCGTGGCTTTTACAGGACCCCTGAGGCACTTAGCGTTTCCTAGACTTGGACACAACACAGTATCTCCAGTGCACCTTGTGCTGTCCCTGCTCAGACTGGAATCCCATTTCCCCCAGGGTCCCTCCCTCCAGCCCTCCCTTCCTCCGATTCCCTCCTTCCTCTACCCCTCCCTCCCTTTCCTTTTCTTAATGTGGAGTAGTTTTCAGAAACCAAGGTCTGGGCCCAATGTGTGCTCATAGCTACTAAGGCATTACTGCTTCTACACCCTCTCTGTGGACAGTCAGGAAATGTTTATTAAAATAACGAACTCAATACCTTAAGGTTCTTCCTAAGCTCTTCTTACTTTATATTTCCCCTGGCCTCCTCCAGAGTGAGAACCGTGCTTCTCAACCATATGAAGGCTTTCACTCATTTGTAGCATATAACACTCCCACTGCCAGGGTTACAGTGCACAGCTGCACACTTGCTTAGTAACGTGAACATTCCTTTACAGCTCCTCTTTTTTTTTATTTAAGAATTCAGCCTCTGTGTGCACAGAGTATTGTGTCCAAATTAAATTTACTTCTCTTTGTGGTCGCATTACCAGTTTGACACAGTGAGAGACATTGGATTGAGTCTGTGTGCCGTGTTCATGTTTTCTTCCTAATCCCTCGGTGTAACTGTGTTTTTGAGCTTGAGGAGCACGCACACCCCAGGGTCTTGCTCTCACCCCATCCACTCCACCAACCTTCTTCTTTACTGCTGCTTAGTATTCCATGGTGTAAATGTACCACAGCTTTTTACCCACTCATCTGCTGATGGGCCCTTGGGCTGTTTCCAGATCTTAGTTATAAACTAGAGGCCCGGTTTACGAAATTCATGCACTGGGAGGGTCCGTAGTAGTATTTACCGGTAGGTGAAGTCTTCAGGGTTTTCTATGTACAATATCGTGTCATCTGTGAATAATGATAGTTCTACTCCCTTCTTTCTAAGTTAAATGCCTTTTATGTTTTCTTCTTGTCTGATTGCTATGGCTAAGACATCCAAAATTACATTGAATAAGAGTGGTGAAATTGGACATCCTTATCTTGCTCCTGTTCTTAGGGAAAATGGTTTTAGTTTTTGTACATTGAGTATGATGTTGGCTGTAGGTTTTGATATACGGCCTTTATTATGTTGAGGTATGATCCCTCTATTCCCACTTTGCTAAGAGTTTTTATAAAAATAAGTGTTGGATTTTGTTGAATGTTTTTTCTGCATCTGTTGATATGATCATGTGTTTTTTGTCTTTCAATTTGTTTATGTGATGTATCATGTTTATTGATTTGAGAATATTGTATTATTCTTGCATCTCTGGAATAAATCCTACTTGGTCATTGTGTATGATCTTTTAATATGTTGTTGAATCCAATTTGCCTATATTTTGCTAAGGATTTTGGCATCTATGTTCATTCAGGATATTGGTGTGTAATTACAAATCTGTTTTTGTGTGTCCCAGAAGAATTTTCAGATTTTACTCTCATGGGTTTTTCACATTTCCATTTCTGTTTATTCCTAAATATTTGATTTTTTGTTGCTTTTGTAAATGGAGTTTCCTAACTCTCTCCTCCTTGGTGATTGATTGCTTTGGATGGGTTTTGCAGGTTACTATTGTAGCAATTGCCTTATTGGATACTGTTATTGTTTGCATTAGTTTCCTTCTTGATATTTTATTTGTCACCTTTATCATGTTCTAAATTTTATGATGCCATGCCAAACTGTAGATCTTTCCAATTCTTATGCCTGTAATTGCTTTCTCCTCTCTAATACACACACACGCACACACACACACACACTCAATGTGTGTGTGTGTGTGTGTGTGTGTGTGTGTGTATTAGAGGCCTGGTGCATGAATTCATGCATGGGTGGGGTCTAGCCAGCCTGGCCAGGGAGAAGGGACATGGGCGGTTAGCCAGTCTGCCTGCTAGTTAAACCCTTGGTCAAGGGGACAATTTGAATATTAGCCTTTTATTATATAGGATATACACTAAGTGACCAGATTAGTATGCATTCAGAGATCACAATAATCTGGCCACTCAATGTATATTTATGCTGCTGTTCCCTCGGTCAAAGCTGATGCACTAAGCACAGCATACCTCACCCTCCGTTACAGCATGTGCTTCAGACTTGAAGGTATCGCTTTCTGATTACATTCCCGCAGGTCTGTCCTACTATTCCTCTTGGTATCTGCCCAGATCTTTCAAACTCTTCAAGTTCTCAAAGTGGCTCTTTCCTTCAATGTGCCTATCACCCATGGGGAATGGCTTCTTCCCTTTTTGTCATCAAGGTGGGTGGGGTGTGTGGTCTTGGTTTGGTAGCAGAAACAGCCTCAGGGGGAGCCCCACCTGAGACTCTCCTCACTGAGCTGCAAGAGGAAATGCCCTCGCTGATGTGCTGATGACCCTTTTGCTGTGTAACTGTGTGTCACATAAGCTTATGCCACTTTAGTTACAGCATGGTCCCTCTGTCAGTAAGTCTCCCCTGGCTCTCTTCCTTTTCAGAGAGGCACAAGTGATCGAACTCTGAATGCGCAGCCACTCCAGGCGGGGCTTGGCAGTCTAGACAGCCATCCATGGCAGCGTGGGAACGTCTTGAATTTGAATGTCAAAGCTGGTGATGGACTTTAATATCCGGGCAAATAATAGCACGAACAGAGTCCTTCATGCCCTCGTCCTGGAGGAAAGTGTGACTTCCCTTCTGCAAGAAGCTCACCGTAGAGGGAGGCATGAGCACTGCGTCCAGGAGTGAGGAAGAATGGAAGCCGGTCAGCCTCTCTGCCTGCCGTGGTGCCACGCTGAGCTGCTCACACTTCCATGGTGGCGTTGACTCTACGTCACTGGAACCTCCCCACAGAGCGTGCTCAGGGAATGAGAACCAAACTCAAGACACAGCGTCTAAAGCACCAGCATCTTGGCCACAGGAAGAAAGCTTTTCCCAGAACTGTTGGCCTCACCTTCGCAGCTGCCAGAAGACTCCCCCAGGAACATCCAGGCACCCTGATGCCCGGAGACCGTGAGGCAGTCTCTCCTCCTACAGATGAAGCACTGATCTTCCAAAGGAGAGACGGCAAGCTGGGCTGGAGTGAGAGGACAGGTCGCAGGCCACAGGCTGACAGGCAGCCGGGCAGCCTCATGGCGGGTCAGCAAAGGATTGCGTGGGAAAGCCGATGCTGTGCCTGGGAGAATGCTATTCCAGTGTTCGCGATCACTGTTCCACTCACAGGATTACTGCCTGTTACTGTTACCGTGTGCATACCTTGTCATGGAGAGGCTCGGAAAACATCTCACTGTTCCCATCAACGGAAGGCTGGGGCCCAGCCCTGGCCACACGGCTCTGCCCTGGCCACACGGCTCTGCCCTGGCCACACGGCTCTGCCTGTGATGGTGACTGCGTTGGTGGCTGCAGCAGGAGCCCTCTGCACCTCGCCCTCAGCAGACACTGTGGTTCTGTGGATGGTGCTCCTCGAGTTGGGCCACTCTGCTCATGTGTGATGACACATGAGCTACATCACCACGAAGTGCTGTGTTATGCCAATTTGCCCGCATTCCCAGGACATCTGACTTGATAACAATGTAGCTCATTAGCAGCCTTTGTTAACTGATAACCTAGAGCAGGAATGCCACAGTCAGACCCAGTTTTCTGTGTGTAAGAGAATAAACCATCGTGTAAGCCCTCTGCTCATCGATTTGTTTCTTTGGCAGCATTTTAATGAAGATATCTGTTGTGAAAGGTAGAGACACCTGTGAACGGAAGGCGATGCCTCAGAATGCCCAGTAACCCTTTCATTTTCTGTGGACTCGACAGGACTATGGGGTCCGCTCCTGTCCCACATCTGCCATCTTTCCCCAGCTCCTCCTCTGGGCTCTGGTTTTGCTTCCCTCCCACAAGGCCTCCTGTGGAGAGCACAGAGTAGTGTGGGGGCCACTGCTCTCTCCTCAGGTTATAGAGGCTGACACGCCCAGAGGCAAAAGGGGCTGGGGACCCTTAGCGATGGGTCTCCTGGGTTATATCCGAATTCACGTTCAGTGGCTCTCTTCTTTGGCAGTCCTACAGCCCCCTTCCCCCATCCCCTATCCTCACAGCCCTTCGCCATGGGACCAGCTCCTGGGGGTGGAGGTGCTGGTGGGCAGACCTTCTGGGTGTGCTTGGGTGCGATGTCTTCAGTGAGGCCATTCCGATGGCCTCGGGCTGTGCGTGGGGAGCTGCTAGCAGAAGCCGGGGGTCGGGATAAGCCAGGAGGCCCTGGGCCCCAGAGCGCATGTGGGTCCCAGGCAGCCTATTGCGGTGGGCAGGCCGTCCTCCCTGCCACAGCAGAAGGGGCAGATGGCACGGGAGCACCAGAGAGGGAGCCGCCCTGCATGGGGAGGCGGCTGCAGACGGCTGTGCTGGTGCCAGAACCTGGTGAGCTGGGGAAGGTTATCTGGCAAGATGAACAGATTAATCTGTATTCATCTCTATATCTACAAACTTAGTTTTAATACATACACTAAATCCATACACAAAATTATATCAGTTTGTGTTTGTGCTCTTCTTATGTGAGTTAAAAGTATACATATCAGAGAATTATCATATAGTCTACCGTAAATTCTATTCTAGAGTATATGGGGCTTGCATAAGTAAATAAATGATGTCCTTTTTCATCATCCAAGTTTAAAATAGTTGAGAGGTAGACAAGCAAGCAGATGGAGGTAAGAATATCAGAGTTGTGATTTTCAAGTAATTTATGACATGTCAACATCACTCTTTAGCCTCAGAGCCCTGGCCCCCTCCAAACAAAAGCAAGAGTGGCTGGGCAGGATGCTGACAGCAAAGGCGCAGAGGGAGGGTGGGTTTGGGTGCTGTGTGGAGGTGAAGAGGCAGGACTTGTGGACAGACAGACTTGGGGGGGAGGGAAATGCCAACTCGGCCCCGCCATCCTAGGTCCGGTGTCCTTGCGGGTGTGGAGGACCCAGGCGCCTGTCTTGGGAAGGTCTGCAGCTTGTCTTCAAGCACGAGGCAGCCAAAGCACAGGCTGCATTTGGAGAGAGCGTGAGCCCACGTCCTGTAGCTTCAAGCTTGTAACCTGGGTTACAGACACACATGTTGAGGTCGCTCCAACATGTGCTCCGGCACCATGAGAGAGCACAGGGCGAGTCAGTGGAGGCGATGGGGTGTGCAGACAGGGTACTGAGGGTGGAGCCCAGGGCTGAGGCCTGGACATGAAGCTGAAAGGGCCAGGACCACTGTGCCCTGCGTCTGTCCTGCTGGCTGCGTCTCTCCCTTCTGAGTGGTTTGTCATCACCCCAGCTGGGTCAGATAAGGCAACCTTCCTTCAGAGAACAGGATTTGTCCGTGTGCGTTCCCACTGGGTGACGCTCTCTCCCAGGCTGTGTGCAGGGTGCAGGGCAGTCACTCGGGCCACCAACTGTCAGCCTCACTTAGTGCATTTGGGTCTGAGTGTTCGTGGTCCTAGAAGTTCGGTGGGCAGGCTCTCTTCGGATGTGCCCTCTGAGCAGTCTGGAACAATGGTCGAGCATGTAGGCTCTTCCTGCCACATGCTTCTTTGCCACAGGACAAACTATGTAACCTTGCTGTGTGAAATGGGCTAATAGCTGTCCCCGCTCTATAGGGTCTTTGTCGGCATTCAATGAGGTAACTCACGTAAACCTCTTACAACACTGGCACGTCATGGGCACTCAGCAAATGTGACCTATTACTTACAACGTGTGTGGTTCCACTTTGACCCCATCCCGAAACCCAGGCACTGAGATTAAAAAAGTTTTCATTGTCAGTGAAATTTCAGGTGAAATATATAATTTTAAAGTATATTTTTATAACAAAAATTAATTTTAGAATCGTTTTAGGTTTTCTAAAGGTTGTGAGTATAGTCCGAAGAGTTCCCACGAGGCCCACACTAAAGTAACATCTCACACGGTTTTGGTTTATATGTCGCAATTGATGACCCAGCACGATTACATTGGTGTCCATTCAAACCTGGACTGAATTGGATTCCTCAGTTTCCCTCTCGTACCCCTTCTCTACACGAGGACCCGCCCAGGACACTGAGGGCATCGGTACTCAAGGCTTCTGTGGTTGTGATGCTTGCTCCGACTGTCCTTGCTTTGGATGACTTTGACCTTTCAAAAACATGCTGGGTGGGCATTCTGCACAATAAGAATCTCAAACTCATGGTCCGCGGGCCACATGGGGCCTCCAACAAATATTTTTGTGGCCCAGCCAATATAATGGTATGTAAGAAACGTTTTATAAAAATTACAACAGTGTTCGCTAATGACTGATTACTATCATCGAGTTGCATTCATTTCCCTAACACGCCTTATGCGCAGGCGCACCATTTCTCTCCAATAATACTACCGTAGCAGTGAATATTTTAGCAGACTACTGCCACGTCATTAGTCTTGGGCCGATTTGTTTGGTGTGCGCAACAGAAAATATTTCACTTTTGATAAAAATAAGTTTATCTGTGTTATGCTTATTAATTTGTGTAGTTATTCAGTGTCTAGTAAATTAATGTTCAAGAAAAATATTAATTTTTATTAAAATGTCCTATTACTTTATGCTAATAATTACTCATTTATTTCAGCCCTTTGTATTCAGCATGTCTCTATCAAAATAAAACTATGTTTCTATGAAAATTGAAGCTTTTGTTTTTTTTGCGGCCACATAAACTTGAACCTTGTTTATTTGGCCGTTGTTAGCCTTTGAGTTTGACATGCTTGCTGTAGACTGTCCCTCAACCTAGGATTTGTCTCATGATTTTCTCATGATGATAGATTTCTCTTAAGTGTAACATAAAATTGATTATAATCAAACAAAAACCCAAGTCTTGATTAATCTTTTCTATTATAAGTAAAATCTTAAATCTTTACTCATATGAATAAAATTAGCCAGATAGCTGACAGATGTCACCTAAGTTTGAACTGGGTAGGCTCAGTATAAAGGAAACGTTGATTTTTTTTTTAATAAAGCAAGGCGGGCGTCCTGATCTGTGAGGGCTCAGCCAACATCCCCTCCCGGTGTTCAGGTCAGTGGCAGGCCGGCAAGCGCCGAGCCCTGAGGCAGTGGCTCAGAGCTGCCAATTGTCGTTCTTCACAACAAATGACTCACGAGGAAGCCGTACAATGTGGGTCTGATTTTTTTGTTTGTTTTGTCCTTTCCCGAGTTTAAATCAGGAGGTGGCTCTTATGTACTGACAACATACTGAGTGCAGCCCACTGGGACCAGAAAGGACTTTAGACCCTGTCAGAGGGTCACCCCTCGCTGGGGTGGGGCATCTGCACCAGCAGGAAGGCTGTGCTCCTGTCATCAGCGGACATCCTGTCCTCCAAAGTGAGTTTGAATGGATTCCTCCCCATCCATCAAGGCCCCATCCCCCAGGGCCTCACCCTCCAGGGCCCCACCCTCCAGGCCCGCCTTCACCGATGCAGGTGCCTCTCAGTGAAGCTCCACAAGCTTTAGAGGTCAGGTCACAGGAACCACTCGATGCCCCCTCAGGCCTTGATTCCCATGCATTCGGGTTGGGGCCAAAGTCCACAAGAAATGGCTGCCCTTAGAAGAAAGGTAGGTGACAGAACAGGAGAAAACTTGCTCAGGCACTTGCCACCATCCCCTGGACCCTATGGATACTTCATTCATTTAAGTTGTCTGCACCTCCAAGTCAAGCTTTTAAGACATAGTTGCACTCACCATAGCAACCCATGTGCTCCTTCATGGTGGGACAGTTCTCTGGGCATGGCTAAGCATATGGGCTCTAATCCAGATGGCCAAACTCTGGTTTGTCTATCTGCCACTTCCTCTGTGCATGACTCTGCCAAATCTCTCAGCTTGACCTCAGTGTCCTTTTCTGTCACCTGGGGAGAGTGGCCACAGCGGGGCGCTATGAGTTTCCAATGGTTATCCATAGGAAACACTCAGAACAGGGTCCAGAACTTGTAAATGCTCTATAATGCTTCCTGCTACAAGCTGTGCACCCGCCCTGGTGGGAGCAGAACCAGGTGTGCTGCTTACGTGGAGGAAGCTGCATGAAAGCAGGGCAAGCACAGGCATTCCAGAGGCAGGCACAGGACATGGCAGGGCCCAGGAAAGAAGGAAGACGCATGACCACAGCAGAGTGGTGCCCGGGTGCAGGGTGCTTTGTGCCAGGGAAGAGGGCAGAGTGTCCTGGGACCCAATGTGGCAATGACCAGGGCTGTGGAAGACCATGGTGATGCTAAGGAGGGCCAGGAAGCCTCTGTGCCAGGGTTGGGCTGCCTGGGAGGAGGGGCAGGAAACCTGTGATACAGGCAAGGTGCCAAGATGTTCAGTGCCAGAGGCTGACACATTGAACCATATAGGACACCCAGCACACAAAGCCACCATACTAACTCAGGGAAGCAGCGAAAATGAGGAGAAAAGGAAACAGGTCACAAACGAAAGAAATGGAGGAAAACAAAAGACTGGACATAGAGTTCAAAACCACGGTTATAAAGTTTTTCAAGAATTTCCCAGAAAAGGCTAATAAATTTAACAAGACCTTCAAGGATATGAAAAAAGAGCAACTAGAAGTTAAACATACACTTACTGAAATATATATATATATATATATATATATATATATATATATATATATATATATATATATATTATAGAGACCCAACAGCAGACTAGAGGAACACAAGAATCATGTCAAAGA